AGCTGCCACCGAGCCGGCGGGGAGCGCTGCGCCCCGAGATCTGCCCTCCAGCGACCCCGCGACGCCGCCGTGCGCCGGCTCGGCACAGGGATGCTCTGAAGCGGAAGTGACCCTTTCCCTGAACAGGCAGTTTTCAGAGTTAAAAAGCTGCGCACAGCATCTCCGTTTACTCTTCCCGGAATCCACACAATTTGATGTAAAGAAAAGGCCTGTCGCCCATTTTTAAAAATAGAATTAATCTACTATAGACGGTCTCCGTCAGTCCCCCTCTCCCGGTGTTTTAAATTGAGTTAATCCCTGACTGTCAGCCTTTTTCTTCCCAGTCGGGCACTTTCAGAGACCTAGAGAGCCGCTGAGAGTGGTAAGATTAGCTGACTTGTGCATTCCTACCCTTACAAACTAATACTGTTTTAGGTGAGCCGTTTATTTTTTTTTAAACCAGTAATTATGCAAAATTCTCCCTGATAAATGTGTCACCTAATAGTCATTATTCAAAATATTTTTCCATTTCTGCTTGTGTGAACATGCATTTCCCACCTGAAAAGCTGAGTTAGAAGTTGTTTTTGTACGGATTTTCTACTACTGATAAAGCTAGTTCTTGTTTTTAAGGCCTTGAAGTGACAGTTATACAAAGTTACCAGCTGCTAATGAACAAGTGCTTTGTTCAAGCCAGTACTCTAAGTGCAAGTTACAATATCACTCTTCAAATACTGTGATGTATTTTTAGTTATTAAGTAGCAGGCCTGCAATTGTTTTTAATTATAGGGATCACAGCAAACAAAGTTGCTGTGTTCTCTTCCCTGTTATCTAAGCTGTATTCCTCAAGCAAATCCACAGATTCAGGAATAAGTAACATTTAGCCTGAGTTTTTTGACGTGTTTGGATTTAAGAAATGTAGGGAGGAGTTCCATTCTAAACAAGTTCTTTCTGACACACTGGTTCACCCCAATTTACCAGTTTTTTGACTGCATGATTTAGCAGAGAGAGAATTGCAGAGTTCACATGCAATTTTTTGACTGATTCATGTCTTGATGACTCAGGGAAATTCTGAAGACAGTCAGCAGCATTGCTCAAAAGTACTAGTAAAAAAATAAACTCCCCCACATTCAAGCTCAGAAAGGACCACTGCATGCTCAGCCCTGAAAAGGAAAGTTCCTTTAGGTTGGGTCTACCTTGGCATCCACCTGAAAGTGCTTATTTTTCCTTAATACAGTAGTTTGACTTCAGAGCTGCAAGGGTCTTGGGAGCATTGCTCTGTCCTAGCCACAGATGTTTCCCACATTTTCCTTATTTCTTGTTCTCCAGTTCCTGCACTTTTGCCAGAACTGTCATGGTATAACACCTTAGATTTATATAACGTTGTAAAGTTTCCAAAGAATGTATACTGACTTGAGTGCCAACATAATCTTGTCTGACAGGTTAAATGAAACATTATTAGGTTTTAATTTTTAACTTTAAGAGGTTTGGAAATTGAGGTGTAGAGGGGAAGTTGGCAGATTTCATGGCAAGTGTTTGTAAAAAGACAGAAACCATTTTAAGACAATGTATGCAAATAAGGGGGACATTGTAAGGATATTGGAGACTCTCAAGGGTCCTGATGACTCGTCTTTCACTTTCTCCCTCCCTACCCCTATGGGATCTTTCTCTTTATACAGTCAAAATGACAGAGTATGGCTACCCTACACTTCCCAAATTCACAGACAACAGTTTGAGCTGTATGCAGGGATTAAATAACTTTTCTAAGTGTAAGTTCCAAATTAATTTGGCTCATGTATCAGATTGTCCTTGACCACACTGGCTGGTTTATCCAGTATACGCTGCCCATGAATGAAAGACAAATTACCACAGGAGGGGAGATGGAACAAGGGCTTGGAAAATAGCCTTGCAATTGCTACTTTCTGTAGTTTAGTAGTGCTGATATTAGAACCCAAGTTAACAGTCCTAAACACAAATGCATGAAGGGGGCAATTAAGTAACTAATAAATGGGTGAAGCTAACAAAGGTTGTGGTACCCAGATGAAGCACAGACTCCATCTAAAAGTAGCTGCTACTTCTCAACTCCAACTGACTCATACTTTTGTGATAATTTTTTTTTTTTTTGAGACGGAGCCTCAAGCTATCCCTCTGGGTAGAGTGCCATGGCATCACACTCACAGCAACCTCCAACTCCTGGGCTCAAGCAAGTCTCCTGCCTCAGCCTCCCAAGTAGCTGGGACTACAGGCGCCCGCCACAACGCCTGGCCGTTTTTTGGTTGCAGCTATCATTGTTGTTTGGCCGGCCCGGGCTGGGGATTTGAACCCACCACCTTAGGTGTATGTGGCTGGTGCTTTTGTGATAATTTAAATCCAAGGTAAATCTTCTGATTTTCAGAAATTTGGACTGCATGTGAAATAGATTTTTTAACTGTGTAGGAAAACAAAAACTCAGAAAAAGGGGGCATACATATTGGTCAGATTTGGCCTATTGACTGATGGTTTAGGACTTTTGACCTAAATCTTCTGTCTGGTCAGTTGTCAAATAATGACATGTAAAAATCACATCCTCCATGAAATCTTTAATAGAAAAGAATGTGGTATGTATATTTGTGTATAGGGTAAATACACATAAAACTATAAAGTATCTTTCATTCTTCTTATGTCTCAACTGAATTGGAACCTTTTGATAGAAGAGAATCATTTCTTCTTTACTTGGTGAGATAATTTTATAGAGCTACAGTATTTGCTTTAGATTTTCCTAGAGAAGAAACCTTGCTATCAGATAAAAAACCACTTAGAAGTTGTGTGACCAAGTACAAATTAATTTATTTAACCTCTTTGGGCCTCTATTGTGAGATTTGGTTTTATGAAGCCCTGACATATTAGGTGTTCACACATATATTAGGCTTTATATCCATTAGAATTAAGTCTACTGGGAGGCGCCTATGGCTCAGTGAGTAGGGCGCCGGCCCCATATACTGAGGGTGGCGGGTTCAAACCCAGCCCCGGCCAAACTGCAACAGAAAATAGCTGGGCGTTGTGGCGGGCACGTGTAGTCCCAGCTACTTGGGAGGCTGAGGCAGAAGAATCGCCTAAGCCCAGGAGTTGGAGGTTGCTG